TCGTTGTTGCAGATAATTCCTTGCGTCCCATCTGGCTAGACGTCAATCACTACCAGAAGATATATAGAATAAAGTTACTATAGAGGATATTATTTTCTACTAGATAATGTTTATTGGTCGACTTGTCGACAACCAGTAATACATAAAGGATTTAATCGAAATGTTTTTGTCATACACGGATTCACTTTTTTTTCTAATCTACGGCTGAATGGAATGTTCTAAGTAAGAAGGTGGTGATCGAATCACATGAAGAATTATGAGACTACGATTGCTGTACACGTCCAATTTGTAGTCATCGGCTGCATCGGTCGGTGACAAACATTCGATGATAGTAATACTATTATCACGCATAGATTGAAGGCAGAAAGTGATTAAGAGAGATAAAACGATCTCGGACGAACGGATCGGAGGGGTAATGAAAGGGTGGTGGACATCGCTAAGCCGCGGAAATTTCGTAACAGGGTGTCTGCGCCGTGGATGGCAATACTACCGTGATCTAGTACGCTTATGTCGGTCTCTCTCGTACTTTTTGTTTCTAGTAGTGCGATCACATAAAACCGATGCCACCATCTACTTCAACAACAGCCGGGTAATGGCATTTAGGGAGGTTTTGAGGAATTCATGAAAACTTCGTTTCTCTGCACCTATTGCACCGGAAAAGTGCAGTATGCCAGATACCGATAGTGGTTTAGTACTCTTTGTGCCATTTGGTCTTCCCTAGTCGTTTTCATAGTGCGTCTTCAGGTCTTCACTACTACATCTTGTTATCAGATGGCTACTTTGTTTTGGAAGTGATTCCTGTGATTGATTGGTCCACAACATGAAAGGCGAATGTGTATAGAGGTATAAATGAAAAGATATTATTTCGAAACCGACCTTCCCTAAACCTCGGTGTGACTAATCAATATGTATTCTTTTTTGATAAGCTTGCACGAGGTTGATAAATATATTTATTTTCGGCTAACGTTTCGACGTCTTCGTCTTCCTCAGAGCCAACAGCATAACGTTGCTGATTTACGACCTTGATATACATAAACTTTTGTAGAAAATATATTGTGCTGAGCAGGTATTTAATCGTTGACAGTATGACACTAAAATGAGTGTGTATAGCATAGCAGCTGAGGAGATGACAAGAAACACACAGGTGTTCGATCCAGTGCTCCGGGCTCGCTAAGCTAAGTCTTCCATCTCTTCGAGGTTGGCCAGTCGCTACTAGACCTTTCTGGTAAGACAGTAGCACTGAGTCGATACCATATGCCACCGTGAGTAATTGTATAGGTCAGATATGCATGCAATCATCTCTAACGATGCAGCGAATGTAGTGGAATGAATGATGCACCCCATAGGGAATGATCAACACCAAGAGTTTTAACAGCTTCTAGCTTCACGACAATAACCATTTTGAGATATTTCGAAAGATAGACATTATATATCCACCATCAGCATCGTGTATAAAAGGGCATCACTGAGTGAGGATGCCTCATTCGAGAAGATGGCTCGCTGAGGAAGATCTGGCTCGACAAGAAGGCGAAGACGCAACGTCGAGGCGAACAACAGGCAGGGACCATCGACTCGGATCACCGGCTCTGAGGAAGACGAAGACGTCGAAACGTTAGCCGAAAATAAATATATTTATCAACCTCGTGCAAGCTTATTAAGAAAGAATACATATTGATTAGTCACACCGAGGTTTAGGGAAGGTCGGTTTCGAAATATTACTGCGCTTTGTGCTAGCTGATAATACACCGACCTCTGCACGATGTGCGCAATGATGTATGTCCGGAAGAAATACAAGTTGTTACCACCGGACATTGTCATTATACATTTACTTTCATAGAAAAACACAATACAATACAACGCTAGTTGACGTTTCGGCAGTATCGCCTTCAGAGCCGCTTTTTCGTGACTTCCAACGACTCAACCACATGCGACTATAATCAGCTGTTCTAAACTTCCTCATTGGAAGTCACAAAAAAGCGACTCTGAAGAAGGCGATATGCTGTTTGAAAAGATATCAATCTTTTGAAAAAAATGTAATAAGGAAAATTTCGAAGGAGAAGGAGTGGCTTCAATCTATCCAAGAATAGAGTTATTCTAATTTTTGATTAGGTATTCGGTTAACCCATGGTAGCGGAACTCCACTTGAGTCTTCACCACATCGTTAGTATCCTTCAGAGTAGTACCGAGGGTAATATTAGGCCTTGCCATAGCCTCCTGGCAAGCGAATATTGTGGGTTTTGCTGTAACATAAGTGTAAACGCATTTCTTTTCAGTATTTGCACAATTAGCGGTTCTTCAAAACGGCCGTCCTCTAAAAGCCGAAATTCTCACGAATCACATGTCGTGGAAATTCGCCTGCTTTAATCATCGACAAAATCATGTTTTGACTAGGTTCCTTCCTCATAACTTGTTCGTAAGGCTCGTTATCATTATCAGAGTGGTAGAAATGTACAAGACTCTCTAAGAGCTGTTCACTTGCTGTGCCTTCGTGCTCAGCATCTTCACTGCTTGTTTGAGGTCAATATATGACGGACACAACACATCCTCTATGTGTTTCTTCTGGTCACTCTCTTTATTATGGGACTGTGGTGATTGAACCGTGTGAATAAATGAATAAGTGAACGAATGAATGAATAAATGGATATTTTTCCATACATTCTGTCTTCGTTGTGAGTGCCACTTTATATTCACTTTCCGTAATGTATAATGTAATAATGTAATGTTCGGATGATGTTAAACGATATCCGGCATGCTGCACCTGATGCATTCTCATGGTTCTCGTTAAAGGTATGCTATCACTCGTTGTGCTGTTATGACTCCATTTGTGCGTCGTGAGCAATCCAGTGGTCCTCGATCATGGTTGTTGTTCATGAACGTTACTGGGCAGTCAACTAGTGTTTTCATTTTCGGTGGTACCCGAATAGATTGATTTGCTGTAATACGTTGCTCATCCGTGTAATTTGGGTTCCTTCCACCAGTTGTCTTTTTGTAAGCAGCATGCAAGCCCACATGCAGAAACGTATGAAGGCCTTCTTGGATGATGGATATTGGGGTATAGAAAGCCAAGCAGTAAGAATATAGTGGTTCATTACCTCTCCTCTCATCCCTCATACAGTAAAAGGGCGCTTGTGCGAAATATGTTTGTAATCGCTGCCAGCGTGTGCACAGGTAGAGATCAGGAGGAAGAATCCACGAAACTGGGGCGCCAAATAGCCATTTCAAATGGCTACGAAACTGTGGCTTCTCGGCATAGGCAGAGAGGAAAATCCACGCCGCAGAGCGATAATTCTAGCGAAAACAAGGCTCCGCTCCTCTTGCCCTTTATTTTAAACGAAATAAGTGCAGCTATAAAACGTTGCTTAATAAGGCCGGTCTAGAGAATTCCGTAAGAGTGATAGAAATACCACCGGACACTCTAAGACGCCAGCTAGTTCGCAACCGCTTATATGACCGTCTATGTATAACGAAAAACTGCATGATTTGCCCTAACAGTAGAGACGGTAAAGTGTGCGGGAACGAATTAGGATGCAGGAACACGATGGAGAAGATTTTGAGGTAGGAGTCACTATCCTCACTCACGAATCAAAAACATCAGCGCGTAAAACTCTTGACGCGTTTTGGATCAATGCCAAAAATTCAAAAATGAACCGCAAGGAGGAGTGTCTTGTCATCACGCGCCACCTGGCGCCATACCTCAGACTAATCCAATGACCTGACACAGGCAGTCATTGCCCACGTATTACTCTGCGCGGCTGCTATCCATCAACTAACTTAAATACTTACAACAAATAAGCGGTAGGTGTTTAAATGAAACTGTTTCTTATGCGAATACAAATTTATTTGTTAGGTTTTATCTGCTAGGGTTATGAAAGTGTTTGGCTGAGGAGATCGCATTTCAATTTAACCTTTTCAGGCTCTGAAGAAGACGAAACCGCCGAAATGTCAGCTATAGTATCCTAATAAATTCTATGATAACAACCTCGTGTCTGCTTATTGAAGAAAACATCGAATTCTTGCACCAATTTGCCGACCACACTGGGATGAAGGGCTTGACGGACTTAGAGTGCTGGAAACGTTCCCATGTGTATTGCACGGACCCTTCAACCATTGCGCTACACGTGCCCCAGGTGTACAGAGGCCTAATGGCAACGGCATATGTTTTTTCAAATGGAACTTGTTTAATCGTCTCGTTAAGCGGTAGGCTGTTTGTTCGTCTGTGGCTGCTTGACCAAGTTAAAACAGGTTTCTCAAAAATTTATCCATTCATAGTATTTCTTTTACTCTTTCTACTACTAATTCGGGTCAGTAGTTGCCCTGCAGTACGTTTGACATCCCGAGGAATCCAGTCACTAACGGCTCTTGTCCATCGGCTGTCATTCACACGTATTATGTGTCCGGCCCACCTTATCTCCGACTGTTTGGCGTACAGAAGGGCATCCTAGATTTTTGATCGTTGACGCATCTCGGATCTTCGGATCCCATCCCTTACTTGTGTGGAACGGGATACTCCTAGCATCGTCCTTTCGACTGCGCGTTCGATAACGTTGAGTGATTTTTCATCCTGCTTACGCAGCGACCAGGTTTCTGACGCATAGGTAAGGGCAGGAAGTACAGTTGAGTCGGAAAGGTGGGCACGGAGTCGGGTGTCCTTTGTTTCGGAAAGCCTCGAAGAAAGCGTTCTCCAATCGAAACTCTCTAATATTGTCAAATAGGCGAAATGCCTCGAAGAAACCGTTCTCCAATCGAAACTCTCGAATATGGTCAAACAGGTGAAATGGCTCGAAGAAACCGCTCTCCGATCGAAACCCTCGAATATGGTCAAATAGACGAAATGGCTCGAAGAAACCGCTCTCCCACCGAAACTCTCTAATATTGTCAAATAGGCGAAATGTCTCGAAGAAAGCGTTCTCCAATCGAAGTTCTCGAATATGGTCAAATAGGCGAAATGTCTCGAAGAAAGCGTTCTTCGATCGAAACCCTCGAATATGGTCAAATAGGCGAAATGCCTCGAAGAAAGCGTTCTCCGATCGAAACCCTCGAATATGGTCAAACAGGCGAAATGCCTCGAAGAAAGCGTTCTCCGATCGAAACCCTCGAATATGGTCAAACAGTCGAAATGCCTCGAAGAAAGCGTTCTCCGATCGAAACTCTCTAATATGGTCAAATAGGCGGAAAGCCTCGAAGTAACCGTTCTCCGAGAGAAACTCTCAAATACGGTCTGACCTCCGAAATGCCACGAAGAAGCCGTTTTCGAGCGAAACCCTCTGTGGTCTAGCACGCAAAAACCGTCGAAGTAACCGTTCTCAGAGCAAAATTCTCAAGTATATTCTAACACGCGAAAACCGTCGAAGAAACCGTTCTCAGAGCAAGACCCTCGAATGTGGTCTAACACGCGAAAACCTTCGAAGTATCCGTTCACTGAGTGGAACTCTTGTATACTGTCTAACCCTCGGAGCTCGACGAATAAGCCGTTTCCGAGCAAATCCCTCAAATATGGTCTAACACGGGCAAAACCTTGAAATAGGCGTTTACTGAGTGGTACTCTGGATTAACTTCTGACGTGCCCTCGAAATAAGCGTTTTTCAAGCTAAACTTTCGAATAACATCTAACGTTCGCAAAGGCTCAAAAAATGCGGTTTCCTAGCGAAGCTCTCGAATAGCGTCTAATCTGCGCTACATCGTGAGATAAGCGTTTCCCTAACGAAACTCTTGAATTACGTTTGATGCCCTATAAATTCTTAAATTAGCGTTTTCCGAGCCAAACTCTCCAATAGCGTCTGGTCTGCGGTAAGTTGTGAAATAAGTTTTTTCCGAGCAAAACTCTCGAAAATGTCTAACCCGCCAAACCTCGAAGTTAGCGTTTTCCTAATGAAGTTCTCGAAAAACGTCTGATGTACGCTGAATCGTGAAATAAGCGTTTCCTTAGAGAAACTTTCGAATAACGTATTATCTGCCCTAAATTGTGAACAGCGTTTTCCTTGCGAAACTCATGATTAACCTCTGATCTGCGCTAAATAGTGAAATAAACATTTTCCTTGCGAAGCTCTGCTAAACCTTCTGGTGAGCGCTCAATCGTAAAATCAGCGTTCTCCGACCGAAACTTTAGAATAACGTCTACCGCTTACAAACCTCGAAACAAGCGCTTTCCTAATAAAGCTCTCAAATAATGTCTTATGTGCGCTAAGTCGTAAAACAAGCGCTTCCCGAACCGAATTCTCGAAGGTCTTGCGCGCGTAAAGCCGCGAAATGTGTGTTTTCCTAGTGACGTTCTCGGAAAATTTCTTATGCGCGCTAAATGGTGGAATAAGCGCTTTCCTAACGAAACTCTCAAACAACGTTTAACGGTCGCAAAACCTCGAAATAAGCGTTTTCCTAGTAAAGTCCTCGAAAAGTTCTGATGAGCGCAAAATCGTGAAATAACCGTTTTCCTATCGAAACTCTCGAGTAACGTGTAACACACGAAAAACCTTGGAACAAGCATTCACCGAGTGGAACTCTCGACTAACTTCTAAGGTGCCCTAAACCTCGAAATAAGCGTCTTCCGTGCGAAACTCTCGAATATGGTCAAATACGCGCAAAAGCTTGAAATAGGCGTTTACTGAGCGGTACTCTCGAATATGGTCTAACACGCGCAAAACTTTGAAACAAGCGTTCACTGAGTGGAACTCTCGATTAACTTCTAACGTACCCTCGAAATAAGCGTTTTTCAAGCGAAACACTCGCATTACATCTAACGCTCGCAAAGCCTCGAGATATGCGGTTTCCTTGTGAAACTTTTGAATAATGTCTGATGTGCGCTAAGCGTTTTCCGAGCCAAACTCTTGAATAACGCGTAACGCGCTCAAAACCTCGAAATAGGCGTTTTCCTAATGAAGTTCTCGAATAATGTCTTATGTGCGCTAAGTCGTGGAACAAGCGTTTTCCGAACCGGATTCTCGAAAAAGGTCTTTCGGCTCGTAAAGCCTCGAACTAAGCGTTTTCCTAGTGAAACTCTTAGATAACGTCTAACGGTCGCAAAATTGTGAAATAAGCGTTTTCCAAGCGAAGCTCTCGAAGAAAAATCGGGATTAACGACTCTCCTCCTTTTGTGGCTGCGTATTTCACTTACCTAGACGTGCAGCAATCATAGCGTGTGGGTAAGAGTGGGAGTTGAAATGAAAACCCCTTTGAGCCACCGAAAGCAGCAGTTCGAAGGAATCTGATGCCTTCGCCTAATCTCCTAAACGACTTGAATTTTCTCTCAGTGATCTGTGATGTCGCTTCAACAACTTGAAAATTTTGTCGCGTTATATGTGAAATGTTTGAACGGATACTCTCACTATGCACCCGGTTGAACTATGCGTTCACTTCTGATTTTCCTAAAGTCCATCTAGGTCTAGCAAATTATACATGTAAGGTAAAGCAAACGTATGCTCTGATGTAGTGAGAAGAGTCGACAACAAATAGACGAAAAGAGTGGTCGAGTGAATCCTATGTGTCGTGAAACTAAAGACGTAGTCCATCTGTGTACGCAGTTGATTATGATTTGTGAAGCATGAATGAGCAGAGGTGAACACAACTATATGAAAAGACCAAATTGGACAACGTTAGCACGAGTACGAAGCCAATGTGCGCTGTGTGGTCACTACGATTTTCTAAGCTTCTTTTAGAATCTTGCATCATTATCAGCATTCGTTCGCATCGGGGTGGTGAAATGTGATCCGATAAGTTTTCGTCCGTTCCTAAGACCTTCAACTGCCCAGTGGGTTCTCGCTAGTTGGAAGACAGAAAATCATCACGATTTTCTTCTAGGATCTTCACCAAGAGTTGCCAGCATTTGATTGGTGGGCTTCTCGTTTTGCACTTTAAGGAGTGTGAGATCCAGTAGCTAATGGTTTTGGTCAGTCGGCTGTATCATAAGAAAGATGCATCACTTGTCTGGTTCACTCATTTAATTTTCGATACGACCCTAAGCAAACGTCCTCAGTCTTTAACGGCCGACGTGGATTGGAACTGCTGATTCACTCTCCCACGGTATACCTACGGCACACCTCAATTGTTCTGATCGCTCCTTCAAGCTATTTACTTAACGTCTACTCTTCGCGAGCAAAAACCCTAATATTGGAAGGATGGGTATGGACAGTTTTCTTCATTTGTTTCACTGCGTTCTCGACGATCTTGTGAGCTCCCCAGCCTTTCTTCCTACCTCTTTCTAGTTCTGAAGCGTTCATCATGTTGTCTAGATACCCGTAGCTGAATCGTTCAAAGATGTTTACACCATTCAGGGTGAATAAGGTTTCAGAAACATCTGCTTTCAAGAACGAGATATTTCTGACGTTCAACCTAATATAGATTTAAACAAATGCGTTATCAAAATCGAGCTTTGCTGAGATCGTGTTGCCCACCAAACTTACTTTAATACCCAAGTACAGTGCAGTGGTTAAAGGCAGACTTCAATGAACACACGGTCGTCAGTTCGATTCCTGCGTCGAGCAAACCAAGTCCTCCTTCATTATAAACTCTCATATTGGACGCGTATATGTTTAGCAGGATAGCAGCACTGATTTGATACATCGCTATTCCCTTACTAGTCATTGTATAGGCCGAATATGCATTGGCTGACGTCTGCAATGCTTATTGGAGTAAATTCATGACGCAGCGCTTAGAAAATAATCAACACGGAGTGCTTTGTCCTTTTACCATTTGTTTTAAGAACACTCTTTTAATCTGCGACATAATGAGTGAATACTTTTTTGAAAGGGCTGAGGTGGCTGCGAGTATAAGTATCCAAACCCTCGATTTAGGGGTTTCGTAAACGGCAAATTGTTTTTTACGACCGGAGTTTCTCACAGCTCGAAAACCAGTGAAAACTTCTCGAAAACGACTGTTATTTAATCTCGGCATAAATATTTAATGTCGTTTAAGATTTCTCGTATCACACGAGATTGTTATAGAATTTCTTTTCCAGAAGAAAGATTTCTTCCGAGGAATAAAAGAGAAGAACTCCTGAAAAGTCGACTAGACGCGGCTACAAGGAACCACATCGCGAGGACGAACGACAGTGGAAAATCGACTCATATCAATTCGCTTTGAAGAAGACGAAGAGGAACGTTGGCCAAATAAAAATTTCATAACATCCTTGTGTAAGTCGAACAGTCTTAAGAAATATTGAAAACTGAACACCGTCTTCACCCTCACAGTAACATTCAATCGGAAAACCTGGTTTTTTGAGACACACCAGTTGATCGGATTGTCGCCTAACAGAAATTTCTTTATGGCTTACAGTTCTAGTTTTAAAAAACAGCACTTCTGAAGGGACATGTTGAGTTCGATCTTGGTAGAACCAACAGTTGTTCTGTCCGTGGCAGCAGAGTCCGTACTCTCTGACTATTGCTCTACTAAACTTTTGCTTGTGCTCAGAAGCTCCACGCAGGTTCTCTAGGCTAAGTTAGGTAAACGATACCTTTCAAAATTCTTAATGAAATGAGCGATATTGACGAGGAAGAAGAGTTGCATGTTCAAGATAGAAATCAGTCCATTGAACTCTGGAGGAGTCTCTGTGAGACGTGTGTGATTATCATTGTACTCCAGATCCAACGGCATCTTTTATTGTGTCATGTTGAATGTCGGGTTAACGTAATTTTTCCTAGAATCCGGGAACAACGTTGCTAGATCTTTCCCACTTCTTTACACTAGACAACACTTGAACTAAGGGAATGAGAAGGAAGTTCTCCACAGAACTTCAGCAAGATGGTCGTGATTCTGCTGCTATGGCATTGTTTTGCACAATCGACTAATCGATCGTGAACGACGAAACACAGAAAAAGTGTTTCTTGCCATTCTTTTCCTGATATAGATATCAAACATTGACGAGTAGTCTCTCGGTCTCTCATAGTGATGAATATAGAGTTCCGGAAACAGTACTCTGCCGAGAATGCAACCGCAGACTCTCGGTCACATCCGAAAAAAGTAGGACAGCGTCAACGTTTTGTAATCATATCAGATTCAATAACTAAGGTCCTTTCCACAAATTTAGGGGTAGATCCACGTAGGAGGCTTTATTTGGAGCGATTCACGGAGTGCAAAGTGGGCTGATCTTTAGATCTACAAATCTATAGTATATCCATTTGGCGCCGTCATTAGACCCCCACTTACATGGCTGTTCGGTTCGTTCACCTCAGACATTCGTGCTTTTCTCTAATGCCATCGTTGGTCCTCATTCCTGCCATTTTTTCCCCATCCGACAAATTCACTGTAGAAAATTCAGTTCTTTACGCTTCAGTCCTGTTTTAGAGAAATCGTGGCTGCTTTCGTTCATCCGCTTTTCCTTTCCGGCGATACCGGTGAAATCACTGTCAGTGCAGACAATAAGCATTGTGAATTATGGCGACGTTAAACCGGAAAACGCTTCAGATGTCCCGCACACCACACGAACAGCTCTACTATGGCATTGATGATCAAGCTCGACGTTCCATTGTTGGATCGGTGCTGGACTCACGTCAAAAGGGTGAGATAGAATCCAGCTTAACGACGTTAACGACGAAAAGTATCAATTGGCGGTCTTGATACTTGAGAAAAGGACCGTGGTGATAGGGGAAGACCGTGACAATATACAATGATTCTTTTTGTTTACACTTTAAATGTTTTCCTCTTCTCTTCGTTAATATTTGGGCGCAGTTTTTTAAAACGATCTTCTTTTTTACCCGTAACTCGCCTACGCCGTTTTGCGCGGCTGGGCCAGTCGAATGCGAGCAATTTTTTGTCGGCTGCGGATCCTCTGGTTTTTTAACAATTAAAAACCATTTTTCAATAATCAAAGTTTTTGGGGGTTCTGGACATGAGAGAATTGTAGAAAAGGCTTCGATTTGTCGTTCTATGGGTATAGATGATATGCTCGCTGCTGTTCACTGTGTGTTTCCACGACATATTATGTTTGTATATTGCTGGCAGCACTTGGAAGTGTTTTTCACCTATTTTGATTTTATTTTGGTGTCTTTCTATACCCTCATTTTTAATGGAATTACCATAGAGATTAAAATGAATTAACACTTAGTTGTTAGTCATGCTACCGGTAAATGAAGTTTGTCGAAAAAAGATTTTTTGTAAACGACTAGGTGTAGAGAATGGTTTCTCTGATCACAACCCTCCTATATCGATCTCCTTTCGATTACCTATCGATTGAATATACACAACGCTGTGAAGGATCTCTGAAACCCGCTAAATTGAATGGAGACACTATTGTTCTTACGGTCGTTTGGTCCGAACCGCTGTGGACACTTTAGTGTACATACGGGGCTTTATGGATTACAGTCAATGTTTCTAACTTTATTATTATGTTATTTGTTCCATCTCGGTACAATGACCTCTTTACACGGGAAGAAATCCTAAACCTTAGCTGAATATGAACGTCGGATAACTACAACTGTTAGGCTCTTAATTCATTGTTTAAACAAAGCCATCCTGTACACAGAAATGTTATTAATGGTGTAAACTCTCATACAGTTGAGTTCCCATGCTCACCACTTTTTTCTTCAGTCAGCTTTTCAGATGTCTTTCTTTGAATTTTTCACTCCTATTTTCTGGATATTAATCCTATTCAGGATTCCATGGTCAAACTCGACTAATCACCGTCACTCCTGATGCTATCATTCCGTCCGTACACGAACCGATAGAAGCTGGCGTCGGTTCAAGAAGACGAAAAAGCGACATATTTGACGTAAGTGCGAATCCGTCTAGTGTCGTTCGATGTTCTTAAATAGTTTCTTAAAAAATTCACTTTAATTGTTTCACTTTCGAATTTCATTAAAGGTCCTCCGTTGTAGTCTGTCTCTCTTAACGAAAACTCGAGTTTATACTTTTTAAAAAAACCTGCTTTGGAAGAACAGTGAAAATGTTCAGTCTCGGGGACGTCGCCAGTGTGTTACCTGGGAGACGATGACCGACGAAGAACGAGAGGAAGTGCAGAGAATGAAGCGGTATGTGGCATATTCATAAGCAACTAGTAGTGGATTGTTGGCATAATCAACAATAATGTAAAGTTGAGCTGGCTACAGAAAGGGTGACCGAAGGTTCTTTCTGGCCTGGCCTTCAAGTTTTGAAAAATATCTCAACATCATAGCTGTTCTATTTCACATCATACTCTGCCGTGAAAAATAATAATAACCAGTAAATAGAATGGTGACATAATAATACAAAGTCCTTACTATATTCGGGCGTGGCACAGTGGTTGGAGGCGCCACTGCGACACACGTGGAATTGATCCCAGCGCCCCTGGCTCACCAAGCCTTCCATCCATCCAGAGTCGGCAAATTGGTACCAGACTTGTCTGGGAGGATAGCAGCACTGGCTCGATACATCGGCAGGCCACCGCAAATCATTGTAAACGCCAGATATGCATTCAGTCACCTCCAACGATTCTTAATGAAGTCGAGTGCATGGCGCATCCCTCGGATTGATCAACGCCGAGAATTTTATCCTTTTTTTTTACTATATTCGGTACGTCCATTTATTGTTCTCTAGTCAGCGATTCATGAAATTCACTGAAATTTTCGTATCATGCGGTTTCACTTATAAATTTGAGAAGCCGGCGAAGTCGATGTTTTTCTATTTATGTATGCAGTAATTGCTGAAGTTTCTTTTTTCTAGAAAGGACGAAGCATTTAAAACGGCTCTCTGCGATGCTTTTAAGAAATTTGGATTTTGTCCATACGGTGACAGCTGTCGATTTGCTCATGGTGACAGTGAACTTCGACTTCCTAGTCAGGTATGATCGACGTCAAGATCTCAAATTCTACTCATTATTTCTATCTTCGGCGATGTTCAATGGTTGTTTAATTTTCATAATGTGAAGACGAACTCTTTCTGAAAACTGTTTTTTGTTTCAGCCCCGTGGTAAAGCACATCCTAAATATAAAACACAGCTTTGTGACAAGTTCTCCACTTTTGGACACTGTCCATATGGGCCTCGGTGTCAATTTATACACAAACTGAAGAAGGTATACGTGTAGTTTTTATGAACAAACTACCTGATTCTTAGACATTGTGAGTTAGTATCGCCAATTTCTTGTGATTGCTGTCAACCTTGCCCCGACTTATATCGGTCAACGGACCAATTTTGAGTGAGTTGCAAAGGGTTCTGCAGTTGCAGGTTAAACACTAAAAATTATTTTTTTATGTGACCCATTTTCTACATCTACTTTGCGGATCCCAGGACTTCTTACATTCAGTTCGGTTCCTCGTACCCATCACTCACGAAGGTTTTTCACCTTTCACATGTGGATTCGGCTGCTGCTTGAGGTTGTTCATTTCACCTTGAATGTTGTAGAATGTCAAGTCGATTCTCTCTGGAGTCCTCGGACAGCCAGACTGGAGCATTCCCATTTGGATTGCAGAGAGCGATTTTTTTTCCGGACAAGTCCGGTATCAGTTCTCTGAATCCGGAGGAATGAGAAGCTTGGTGACGTCCCAGCGGGATTGAACCAGGAGTGCCAATAATGGCTGGCATCACTACTATCGTGCTATCCGCCTTTCACATATTGCTTTACCACATTTTTTATCTCGACTTTTGAAAGAATTTGCTGTACTAGCATGTGGTACACCTTCAATTTTTTGAACACTTGCATGTCTCGGGGAGTTGTCAATACATTCCGCCAAAGTTGGTTTGTCAACAAAACACGATAACCTTTATAATGATAGAACAGTTGGAGGAATTAAGAACTTCACAGCCTCTTAGAAGAGACGTTGCTTTATTGTCTTAAGAGTATATGTAATTTCTCTAATATATTCAGTTTGAAGTACTAGAATTGGAATTTTCAAGAAAATGGGACTTAAGTTTTTCAAATGGCTGCAGCCGAAGGCTACTTAGAGGACACCATCGTGTCTTTGCTTTGATGGTTGAAATACTAGGTGTGACACAAAGGAAGTGAAGAAAAAGGTCCTATAGACTCCAGAAAATTGCTACTCCATCATAAAAGAACAGGAGAACTTCTTCCTGGATGGCAAAAAATCTGTGCATTCTAGTAATTTTAATGTAACAATTAAAGTTAATTATCGACTGAAGAGGCGTGTAGCGTAATGATTAGAGGTGCCCTGCAATTCACATAGGATCGATCCATCGCCACACGCTCACCAAGCTCTCCACCTCTCCGGAGTTGGTGAATTACTACCGGATTTGTCTAGGAGGATAGCAGCACTGACTCGATACACCGGTAGGCCATCGCAAGTCATTGTAAAGGCCAGTTATGCTTCATTTACCTCCAGTGATGCTTGCCGATGCCGAATGTATGGCGCATCTACCAGGGATTGTTCAACGCCGAGAACTTTATTCTTTTCTCTTTTATGATCTGAGATAAGTTAGTTCAAATTTCAACTCAGTCTCTAATTTCGCATCACATGAGTTCATCAGAGGTCATGTCGTCGTGTTATCTATTAGAGTGCGTGCCATTAGTGATTACAAAGAGAGGTGGATCGTCTATCTTTCATGCGATCATCGTAATCGTTCCTGAAGAGATGTGAATTAAAGACTAAGACTCTATCTTCCATACAAATATCGCACTCTAGTTGAACTTCAAATGCGAAGTAAATGATCAGAAGGCCCCAAAAAAGACAAAATCCATGCAAATGTCAAGCAAAGTGAGATGAATCTTCTAGGACAGTCTTACGCAGTTTCATTAGGAATCCAAAAACCTTATTACAAATGTTAAGGTCAGTTGTCCAATGTTTCCATAATTAACTAAAATAGAAATTATCTAGTCTCCAACAAAAGTCGTAATAATAAGGTTTTATCTGCGATAAATACGGTGATGACCTTCAAGGGTCTGCCACTCATTCAATACGAGAGGCTGCTAGCCGCAGGTGAGATATCGCCGGAAAGGGAGGATGAGTCGAATATGCGGCCAGCTTCACAAATCAGTCGTCGCTCAACGGGATCTAGTCCGACGAGGTTTGATGCTCTTTTGCTTTATATCGGTTGTAAATCAAATAGGAATAGTTCTTAACTTTTATTTAACTGCCTTCTAGTTTCTTTCACAGCTAAGTATTATGTGAAATACAATTGAAATGATGTTGAGATATAAGCAAAATCCAGAGCCCTAAGTGAGCTTTGAATTCATGGCTAACCTTTCCAGAGTTCACCTGTTATCCACTGCGCCGACGATACCCTCCCACGGTCTTAATACTACGGTTATAGATAGGAACAGTTGCCTATTCCATCTCATTTAAGAGCATTAACCTTATGAGACCGAGACAATTCATCTTCCATCCTGTAAAAAAGGAAAGAAAACGAATAGCGCTTCTTTTAAAGAATTTTCGACCCTAAGCGTTTTGAAATGTGTTTTTTTGTCACCTTATGTTGGATATTTTTGAGACAAGTGTTTGTTCTGAAATAACGGATCTAACAGAGTTCTATGTTAATCAGACATTTCATAGGAATCGTTCTTCACAAACATCTAGACGGTTGTCGTTTGAACGTGAGATTTCGTTGATGCCAAGACCGAAGGTTCCGAATGCTGTCTATCCGAAGATGGAGATTATTAATATAGAAAAAGCATGCAAGTATGCAGAAGATGTTGTTGATGGGAGTATGTTTTCCTTTAATAAGTTTTGAAATCGTGGTCCGATCGTGCTGAGTTAATAAAGTGCTGGCAACAACTCCTCCTTACTTTAATCCCTCAAATGTTTAAAACCCCATTCTTAAGTTAGTTGTTTAGAGTCTAACTGCATAAAACTTAACTACGTCCACTGTAGTACGTAAGACATCTGGGAGCATTATTTTAATATTTAAGGAGTCTTGCTAAAGATAAAGAAGTGAACACAGTCACATATTTTTGCATGTTTCCTCGGAGATCTTAACGATCACATCATAAATGTCTATTCTTTCCACTGCTTCTGATTTAGCGGCTAGTTCTTGCCGTCGTTTGGTCGAAATCGATGACATGAGGTCCAATATCGACTTCAACATAGGCCAAATTGGAAGGTAGGCGGCTGCACATAGTATTTAGCAAAGGAGCCGATTTCACGTTCAGGAATTTCAGGCCAACTTCAATGCATTCGTTATCGAACCGTGGTATGATTGGTGATATTCGATGTATTCCAATTCTACAACAAGTTGACTCTGTTGAGGTTACTAAAGATGTCCGAAGTGCACAAAAGAAAAAGGTGCCGGATTTGTCTCTTATCAAGGAAGAACCTGAAGAAACTCTGTCACAAGAGAGGTTAGTTGGACGTGCTGTATGCATTACGAATTTCATTAGTGCTTAGAGTTCGATTCCTAATTTTCTGCGCTGAGCGCGTAAAGTATTCCGAGGTTTTTCACCCCACGTACTGTGAGCTGTAATCCACTCACACATGCCGAATTGTCCATTAAGCACGAACCATGTGTGCTCTACACTCGCCATATGTAACATCACCTGTCCCGTTGGTTCTCGAGTGACTCGAACGGGCGCCAGTAAATCTTCCACTTTTCCCTATGGCTTGAAAAAGTAGCTCAGTGGGTTCTGCCCGCCCTAGGGATTTCTTGAGCATCATACGTTTCTTCCAGGGCTTTCAAGAAGAACTCTGACCATCGTGTCGAGAGTCTTCCTGTAGTACGTTTGACATCCCGAGTAATCCAATCACTAATGGCTCTTGTTCACCGGTTTCTGTTCATACGTGCCCTTCCCACCTTATGTTCGACTGTTTGGCGTAGGCATCTTTGATTTTTGATCTTTGAAATAGATGAAAGCTTCTAACCCCTTCCTTCAATTGTTTGACACGAAACACTCCTAGTATTGTGCTTTCGACTGCGCGTTCAATAACGCTGAGTGATCTTCGAGAGTAAAGAAAGATATGTAACATAAAAACGATAAAGGATAAAGCTCTTGGCGTTGATCAATCCCTAAGGGATGGACCATGCATTCGACTGCATTAGGCATCGTCTGGAGGTGAGTGAATGCATATCTGACGTTTACAATGATTCGCGGTGGCCTATCGATGTATCGAGCCAGTGCTGCTATCCTCCCAGACAAGGCTGATACCAATTTTCCGACTCCGGGGGGATGGAACGCTTGGTGGGCCATAGGCACACGGATCGATTCCACGCGTGTGTTGCAGGGCGCCTCCCACTAATGTGCTACACGCGCTCCTTTCGATCTTGATAATGAAGGGAAACACTCATATTTGCTGAGTAATTGTTAATAGTTTCCATATTTTAAGCAAAACATTCGATCTGAGTTATAGTATATTACCTTGCTGGATCATTGGTAACAATACCAAAATCACCAGTGGTGGTTATTTTGCATCCTAACTCAAACTGTTTTGCACATTATAAAGCAGAAATATGTTACTATTATAGATCAATGGACATTCGAATTGTACCGTAGACGCTTAGGAGGTTTCTCCCTCACTTCGTTTTCAGCTCGCCTCACACTGGTCGCAATATGCGAGACCAGTGGGCAGGAACTATCTTTGGCTCGAAGATGGACACAATATCCGAGGACGATAAGGAGAACAGTATAAGCAAGCAGAGCCGTTCAAACGAAACCGAACTACTAGTGCAGTCATGCGATGAGGAACTTCTTGCACAGGGACTCTATGATGACAGGTTTTTCTTTTTGTCTTGTTGAGGAAACATGGAATTTTGTGAAATACAACCAAGGTGATGCTGAGATGTTTGCAAGACTCCGAACCACAGAAGTCTGCGGTGGTGAACGAACACGCTTATTACCCTTTTCGGGGGCTAACGCGTTCACCGCCACACAATGCCAGTCCTTCGTTTCCCGTGTCTCAGCAAGTTTTCTATCTACGTTTGCCATGAGCGGCCATCCGTCAACGTGATTGATCTGAGCACAAATCGGCACTGAATCTAGTTTAGCTGAGGCTGAAGTTGAAACCACAAAAATCTTGTTTCTTCGGAACTCCGTGTGGAAGAAGCGTTCTCGCCGAGATGATTCCATCAGTTTTTTCTGTGTGTTTGCAGATATCCAGACACTCCGACGGATCTTCTCGAGCAGTGGAAGGAGCTGAGCACGAATTAATCGCAGTAGGTCGGGCGTGTTCGACTCAACTAACAACGAATGAATGACTTCTTATTCACACTTTTCACACAGTTGGTCGACGAATATATCCAGCTCGGTTTGACTATGTAGCTGCCCACATTATACGTTTGCACTATTTCAGTTTTATTTGTTTGACACCAGTTTTATTGTATCACACCACCAGAAAGCCTATTGGGTTATAGTCGATGGATACATCGCCAATGAACCTAGCATTCCAAAAACCTCTATCCACCTTCTTTTAGCGCTTAGTTCCCAGCAATGCATGTTTTAATCATATGGTTTGTCGACCCTTCGGTATGAGTTATTTTATTTAAGGCCTGTGAAATATTCAAACAAGAGAATAAAGAGTTCTTTTTTTGCTAATGTTAACTGTTAATGAAGACCGGAATACAATGACGTCTATGTGAGTGCGTGGTGTGATTGCACAATTTCAGTATTTGGCGGAGATCGATACACGACGCAGTGTGTGTGTGCGTCTGCTCTTGCGATGACGATCGATTATTCATATCGACCTGCTTCCATCCCGATTTTATCTCGGTTATCGATCCATCCATCAATCAATCCAAACATCGAAAACATATTTGAATAAGCCTTACACTGTTTGGATTACATCCATCTCGTCAGAAATGCTATCGCTCTCGCCACAAGAGGTTGGGCCTGTAAAAAGCACTACTCTGTTCGGCATTCATGTGTGCCGCTCATCTACATCTCCTGCTCTCTAACTGAACTATTCGCTAAACGGGTGATGACACGTCAATGTTCATCCATTAGATTCAGAGAAATCACGTGTTTAACGCACATTTGTCAGAAAAATATGAATGGCGGCCTTTGCAATGTTCTTGTCCAGAAAACAGGTGATACACGTCAAGAAATATGTGTTATTCCATCATCGTGAGATTATTCGTTATTGAAATGCCCTCAGACGAAAGATGATCTAAGGTTATATATGTTTTAGTTCGTGTTTAAAGGAGTTATAACGGCACGAGTAGGGCCAGTATCTGACGTGTTTTCTTGACGACAGTTAGAATCCGACGTGAATTGATCTCCACTCAGTACGGTGCGGAAAGATAGGGATAGCTTTTAACTTTAAAGGGCTAAGTCTGAACTCATGCTAGACCTAAATATCCACACATTATTGCCAGCAAGTTACATGTTTTCTGACCTTAGAACAATGAGTTTTTGCTTTCATGGATCCGAGAAGTGGATTTGGCAATTTTTCCTTTTGTCGAGGTTCATATTTCGAACACGAAAGCAGTTGAACGATCAGAATTTTATTCAGAGAAGGCAGTGTATCCCCGAATGCGCTATTGAGTTGCGTTTGCCGGGGTTACGTTAGACATTCTAAAAATTTATACTTCATCTTCGGTTTATTGAAAATTTGACTGGAAACCATCTTGAGAGTTCTATCATACTCTTTAAAAATCAACATTTGACTTTAAATAAACAGAGCATAGTCTCTCCTATAAGTTCCTCAAGTTCTCAGATCCTCAAGTACAATTGTAATTGGAAAGTAATGATGAGCAACTGCCATAAAAACCAGCATCAGACTTTATGTGCTAAAAAAGAGTATATAAGGCCTAAAGTCAGTGTTAGCCTCTCAACACCAAGAGTTTACCGCCCCAACGTGGTCTGGTGTTCCTGGGAGTCGGGATGTTATGTGCGGCGGGAGAATTCACCACCCTCCCCCTTTATTCTCTCAGCAGAGTCTCCCAATCTGAGAAGTTCGGCATTTCCATCAGGAAGCCCAGCTAAGAGTAAACCAATACCAGGACCCACCACAATCTTGGTATCAAACTAGTCGCATGGTGGCAAACCTCTCATCCACAAGGGCTGCGACTGCCTGTGTTGCCGACGACCTAGAGCAGACTTTGGTTAGACTGTCCTCGGGACTCCAGGGGACCAGAATGGCTAAACCAACAACTCTCCGGAAAGTGAAAATTATGCTGGAGTCTGCACAACCAGTGAAGATTGGCCATCCAAGTATCCAAGTGTTGGTACAAGGGGAAGCAGCCGTTTGTAAAGAACTTGTCCGATGTTTTAGTGTGTGTAGTGGAAGTGCACTCGTAGTAGCGTCATAAGGTTACATGAAATCTTATTAATAATGTTTTTTTGGCCTTATTTTATTGGCTCAAAGAAGTCCAGTCTTTGCGGAGAATAAGAGGATGAGAACTTGCGGATTGATTTTCAATATTTTCTGTAGAATTACGTGAACTTATAATGTTTAGCACATCTTAGGAAGTGGTTAACAAGCTCATTCATTCTCATGAAATCTTCAGTGGATACGCTGAGTTTTGAATCCTTAAAAAATTTTGTGTACATTTTTAATAGCCCTAAAACATAGTTGACATTGATGATGAAGATTGAGCGTAAATTCTTTTCATTTCTGTCGTTAGCTGTAGTCGTTTAGAAGGCATTTATTGCGGATGGCAGAGGAGTTGAACTGTGACCTGGACGAGGGTTCACATCAAGGTGGCTCTGACGGTGGGTCTAAATCCAGTTTAGAAGACATTCAAGGTATGTTTTGAAAAGTGATACGATAATTTTTTTAGAGTTTGGCTTTTTCACTTATGCGTTAATTGTTGGCGGTTTTCCAGAACGTGGAAATGAGTCAAAGGAAAATTTTCAAGCATCGTCCGAAAAAGTGGAAGACTTACTGGATTTGGATTATTACGAAGGTTCTCCCAATCCGCATGAAAGAGGAGATGAGGTTTGAAGAGTTCTATACCTTATCTTAGTAAAACCGTTATGAATAGAGATGTACTAGTTTCGCATGTAAATTGTTAAAGAGTTCGGATGGCGAGATAAATGATTCATCTGACGAAGATACGAAAGGGGATGGTGGTGTCGAAAAAGAGGAAGGAGAACTGGATGACAGTGACGACGAGCGCGAGACTGATATTTTGAAGAAACGAAGAGTTCCTATCGAAGTAGGATCTGTTTCCATAACTTGATATGTTATCCGATAAGCTACGTTTGCTAGGTATTCCATCAGCACTTAAGATTGACGATAGAGTGGGTGTGTAAAGGCAAGAGAAGTAAATTCATTTACTGTTTTTCTCAAAGCAGCGATAAGGCAAAGATGAAGCGTTTATAAGCTTTTCAGTTATTTTTAGGCTCGTCTGACTCGTCCAATTGCTGTACGCGATAAGTTTGTTAGAACACGTGACTGTCCATACGAAATAAACGGCTCCTGTAGTTGGGGTCCAGACTGCAATTATGTTCATCGCAGTAAAGCTCAGGTATGAGAATATACGAATAGTTTTTTTTCTTAGTGACTATCTTTTGCACTGTTTAGGATTCTGGAAGGTTCTTCAACAGAAAAAAGCCAGTAGAAGGTTTGCATAGTTGTTTCGTTGTTTGTTTACAATTACTGGTGTCACCAATGCTCCTATTACTTACTTAGACATCTGAATTGCCTATCTTTACGAGTAGTGCTATCAATTTCTCCATTAGTTTCTTTCTCGTGCAGTCGTATGTGGTGGTAGTTAGCTTCGAACATGGTGAAGTCCGCGAGGTCCATTCTGTAATCGTAAAATCGAAAATCGTTCCTATCTGCAAATGCAGGTGGTTTACGTTAGCCACGGTCATGTCCCTCTGTAGCTTAGGTGATTGCGCAAGTGGGCGGTTGAATTCCGTTTAGAGTTCTACTGTTCTTTTGCTAACGGCTTATCTGCATTTCGCTTTTGATGTATATTCTCCTGGGTCCCAAAGATGGTATAGGTTTCGAAGATCTGAACTGCAAAATCCGGCTAGATGTTGTGAGTGTTGGTTCAATGTCGGAAGACATCGTTCAAGAGATCTGTGGTTGGCGCGCAGATTTCTTGACGTGGTTGAAGTATTAGTTCAAGTCTCTACTGCATATCAGAGCGTCTCTTGGATCGTTAAGTCGAAAAAGTTAGCGCGGAGTTTTGAATTCGTTGGCAAGTCGGTGATTTCTTTTAGAGCCTCGGATGCAGCCTATGCTGCTGTCTTTCTTCTGTCCTATTCCTCCTTCGCGTTGTTCTCTATGTTCACTGGACGCCTAGGGCACACTTTCGAGGTGGACTCTGTTATCAGAGAACCATGCAGTTGGATCTGTTCACATTCGTACCATGAGTTCTCCCTGAACTGAGGCTTCGTTCTATTTATGGTCTAAATATAATCCTGTTGCTCATATCGAACTACATTGATGAAGCTCAACCAGTTAACTATGCAGGAAAATCGAATCCGAATCGTATCCTGGGTGTTAGAAGTCTGTCGAGAATGCTGGTATAGAAAATAAAAGGATTAAGCTCTCGGCTATGATCAGTCCCTGAGAGATGCGCTCTGCATTTGACTTCACTAAGCATCGTTGGAGGTGATTAAATACATGTTTGACCTTTACAATGACTTGCGGTGGCCTACCGATGTATCAAGCCAGTGTTGCTATCCTCGCAGACAAGTCTGGTACCAATTTGCCGCCCCCGTCGAGATGGGAAACTTGGTGGACCATAGTCGCGGGGATCGATCCCAAGTATGTGTTCCAGGAAGCTTTGTATACTTTGTCATAATCTTTGTCAACCTAGAAGAAACGTTTGACAGCATAGGGTTGATCGCAGCCTTATCAGAATACTTCTTATCCTTCATCTTATCTTTCTCAACAGTAATAGTGCCGCCCTACATAGGGTTTTTAGCTGACTGTTATCGCAACTTTAGTACGAAGTTGTGGTTTTTCCATCGGATTTTTATAACCCTTTTTGGAAAAGGGTTAAACAGAAGACTCCACAACGCCTTTAGTTATTCGAACCGGACTGCAGTAAATTACAAACTCGCTCTATGCTGAAGTTTTCTCTGAAAGCATTGAAATCGTCATTTTCCCGTGAAGTCTCGATTATGCAAAGAGCTTGCTCAAAAAACTCAAGGAATCAAGAAAAAGATTTTGCAAATTCGCCTTTTATTTGAGCAACATATAGTCTTGTCCATCACTGGGTAATTCCAGCAAGCACCAGAAATCTCTTCCCGCCCGCATCATGCATTTGGTTGCCAAGCCTGTTCTAAGGAAAGCAAGGACCTCGAAACTTCTGGTATTCTTTCACTCATTGGTTCTTAACCGTGAGGACGGGTAGTTCGTTGGGTCGTGCCGTTACTGGGTCTTATTCTAATCAGACTTTCAAATATTAGTGTTGAACTGTTTTCAAATTTACGTGATTGTGCTGGTGAATTCTCAGCTGTGCATCGCAGTTCAACACACATAGGATGAAGAATCTAGGTCTCCATTCCCACTTGTTGGACCCATTGTTCACTCTTGTGGTGTAATATGCTGGGTTGACACTTCAACCACGTCGGGATTTTTGCGCAATGTTTGAACGATGTCATATGAACCAAAACGACGTACTATCAGTCTTGATCGTCTTTCAGATACGTTGTGAAAACATCTAAAGTTAAACGTATGTGCCTGTACAAAGCGTGCATCACTCATCTGTATTCGCAGTTGTGAGTAATTTTGGGTCATGGAGTGGTCCTCGAACATGTCACAATGTTGGAAACAGTTCATCATTGTGGGGCAGAGGGAGCACTGTTGCGAAACGAATAGAAGACGGTTGGATCCTCATGATTGATAACGTTAAGCAATCTAAGTATCCAACTAAATATTTGCTATTTCTTCTAATTCCCGGATCTCTCTAATGTGAATGGTTTCGTTCCAATTTGTCTCGACATTAAGTGACTTATACCAGGTATCGGATAAAGTGGTATATATGGAAGAAATGTTGTTACATGTCTCTGCAGAGATTCGTGTTAATTCAAAGATTGGGTTCTAGATCTGTATTGCTTCCTATTGGCCTACAACATATATATGTGTATATATATTTCACGTATATAATATGCATGATGTTTCTTTACTGTTTGCAAAGACAGGCACTTTTTTTAAAAAGACTTGGATTTTCTTGCGTTGTTAAGAAACTTCATGGGAACGAGGTCTTCGAGAAGCTCGAGAAGCCATGCGAAGAGCATCGAAGAAAAGGGAAGAGCCTGAGTTCGAGACAAAGCGTCTGACAGCAGCACCTACGGGCGAACGAAACAGAAATGCACAGGATTCAGATTCTGACGACGAGTCTTCCTCTCACAGGTTCATTCAATTTAGCAATGCACCTGCTGTTAAACAAAGTTGGATTTGCTAGGCCACTGATCTATGGGTGTTTTTAATTTTTTTTTTTAATGGAAGTTATTTCATAAGCTACTCGCAACTCCATGGATTAATGCCAGCGCATACGAGGTAGAAAATTTATTTCTGTGATTTCGAAAATATACCGTAAAAATACCTTCTGGTAGATTTTGGTACAAGTATAAGTATCGAAACCTACGGATCTTTACTGAAATGTCATAAGTTTGGCTATCTCAATGTGATGACATCCTGTCCTGACTTCTGTACCCTACAATTTCTTTTTGTAACCCCCTTTTAAAGGGAGCTTGCTCATCCTACTTACTGCAATTTTCTATACTCCACATATTGTTCTTTTTTACTGTTTTCCATAGTAGTATCTATCTTGAGTGATTAGGCAAATGAGTTGCATCCAGGTGGACTTGAACTCTTCGCAAATATTAGGTTCTTGGGAAATTAATGTCCGATTTCATCCTGTATTTTCAAAGTGGTATATCTCAGATCAGAATAAGTTTAATTGGTAGAAATAAAGACCGTTAGGATTTGCTCCTTCTTGCTGACGAAAAACCTGTTCATTTATGGTTTATTTACATTTGGAATGCTGAGCTTTACTTCAGGAGGGACGAGGTTGATGAAGGCAGTTTCGGCGTCGGCTTGGTTTCTGAAGCATTTCTCGAAAAGGGAATGATCGAGATGCTTCAACAAGTAGTATTCGGTAGACAAGAAGTCAAACAAGGATTTAGTACGAAGCAGAATTCCGTATCTGAGCTCGTTCCACTTTTCCATGGTCTGTACGTGACATGTGACCGTGCATTGTCGTTGAGAACGATTGATCAATACGATGCGCATCCGTTGAAGTATGTAATGCATTTCGTCGATTTGATATATGATACTTTTCCGCTGTGTCATTTTTTACCACGATCCGGGAAGCTGTGCTTGATTAAATAACAACAAACCACCAAGCAGTTAGCATTCCCTTCTTCTTACTGTCTTGAGAAACGTTCGTTCATCACGGGTCCGCTTATCATTGCACGTCGCTATACAATTGAGAAATAGGTCGTTCCTGTTGCGAAAAAGAAGCGCCGACGATACTTCATAACGACGATTTCTTTGGTTGTTTTTCAATTCATGTGATATCCATTTTTCGAACTTCTACGACTTTCTAGTTATCGTCCAGTGCTTCAAAACAGTCGTGGAGCTTACACGGAGTTTTTATGCAAGTTCTCAAGTTGTGTGAGTATTTGCCATGAAAGCCTTCAAGTCGTCATTATCATCAGCAGGAGGACGTGCGCTACCTGTCTTGTCTTCAAAGTCGAATTCGCTATGACGAAATTTTCGAAACCAGTGTGTCATCACCCATTTCTTAACACTTCTTTAGTTCCATACCTCACTAATGTTTCGGACCTTTTTCGGTGCGGACTCGCGGTTTTAATTCGTAGAAACAGATCGAAAGCTCAGTAAATGATCTTTTCAATGTTGTATAATAGTAGAGCACCAGAAAAGAAAAAAGTTTTGCTAAAAAGTTGCAAGAACCATGAAATTACCAATCGGATATCAGTTTTCGAGCAGACTAGTAGCTAATCGAAGTTGGCAGGTGTTGCGCTTGTGTTTATTCTTTTTTTTTAGTTTCTTTTCAGCCGTATTGTTCTTTAAAATTTCGGTTGGAAACTAGAGTAATTGTAATCTTGTATATGATGTTGGAGAGCGATGGAACATTGTCCCTTTCCTAAGTTCGTTATTTTATAAGTGCGGCAATTATTGAAAATTATCGGCGCTTGTCAAAAATGTGGCGTTATCGTGATTATATCTCTATTTGAGGCCATCTCCTCCAGCTCGTCGACACATTCCATCTTTATTGGATATAGCCACACTTGCACCTCCACGATATCAAGGACGGTCATCATCGAATAGAGGTAAGTTGTTGCTTTACTTTATCCTTTTTATTTTCGTTGAAAATAACTTGTTTTGTACTGTGATGTTTAAGAAGTGGACCAAATTTCAATGCTGCGTTTATAAAATAGCAGCACTTCTTGTTTTGTGGTAGTTATTGTGCTTTTTGTGTCAGACGGTGTACGTAGTGCGACTCGCGGTTCGCCTTGCTATTCTGAAGATGACGATTCCGTTGCATCTCGACACAACGTAGACTGTGGACGGTTCAGGGATTCTGGAATTTACCGAGAGCGAAGAGAAATTAAGGGTAGGAGTTACTTCTTTGGTGAATGGATTATCATTGTAATTTGGTTACCGATTTCCTTCTTCTAGAAGTGATCTCTTACGATTGTACGCACGCACGATTTAAGCTTGTTGTGATCATTTAATATGTATTATGCAGGCTAGTAGTGCCGGTCTCAACAACTACGTTTAGATTTGGGACCGCAGGTCCGCTATCCTTGTGGACGACCACAGCCTCGTCGTTACGATGGGCAACGAAACGTAGGCACTGGTAGCAGTAATCAACAGCCGTCTCGTCAGGACAAGGCTAAAGACTCCGCTTATCGTCCAAGTCGTGATTCGTCTTCAAACAAAACATTGACTAAAGAAAATCGTAGTTCAAGGTTAACTAGGAGCAATTTAGTATTTGTGTGTTTGTATTCTTAGTTAAATTTTCGTTTTATAGGTTATCTCCCTCTCTTGATGTATCTCCTATCAGCAGTGATTCTTCATTGTCACCAGATCGAAGTCCGCGGAAAAGTTCCATAGCAACAAACTTAAATAAAGAATGCGATGAGAATGGTAAGTGCTCTTGTATTTAAACAGTTTTACAACAGGTTATTCTGTTCTCGTTCTTTACAGTGAAGAAAAAGGCAGCTCAAGGTGGAAGTGCTATGGGTGATGTAACAGATCCATGGGTACGGAAAAAGAAGACAAAGTGTTGGTCGCGGAACAAGAATAGTGGTGGAAAACAACGCCAGAGATCAACTAGCAACAGCTCGTGTGTTCAATTTACTCTTTGAAGTAATAGAAACGACCTTTGTCGTGCTTTAGTAAAAGTGCTGTGGTTTTGGCGCACTAATTAATATTGTGGGGTACTAATACTGACTGTTTATCATATACTCTTCTTTTATAGAACGAGCTCATCCAACAGTAAGGAAAAGATAAGGCGTGCTGCTACGTCATCAGGATCATCCCGTGTGCAAAGAAAGTCGCGCTCTCCAACAGTGGCTAAGGTGCTTTTGTTTTTTGCATATAGCTTGGAACTCTATCCAATCTTGTATTCTTTGCGAGCGTTCGTTTCCAGTTTTCGGTTTTTGTCACTGTGAGGTTTTGGCACAAATTTCATGGTAGATCCAAGTTAATGGGAATATGCAGTGATCGTAATGTCCTAAAATTTTCAGACAGATAGACGTCTTTCGCCGCCACGAGGTGATATTACTGGATATCGTATTCCCAAAAGACGTCGTTCTTCGGCTTCTCATGACCGTGCATCGAGGTTTTTTCTGTCTTACTTTGCTTTCTCTTATTCCTGGGTAATGAAATCGTTAGTTATATATAATATTTTCAGATCTGCGCGTACAAATTTGGAAACTAGACGCGCTAGTGCCTACTCAAGAAAATCCGATGTAAGTATTTTCTCTTTTTTTTTTCTCTGATACTTTTTGAATTGCAATACTAGTCTTGTTGTTCTTTTTAATTTAGTTTTCAAATATTTCATTCTGTATGGTGTGTTTTAGAAACCAGATTTTGCAAAAAACAGTCAAAGCCGCATTTCTGATGATGATGATGATGAAGCTTTGGACGGAATTATCAATCGAGGAGCCCAAAATATTAGTGATGTTAGTAATTCTGAATTCAACCTGTAATGTGGCATTTCGAGAATATTCGATTTCCTTGTACCGAATTCGAATGAGCTAAAGCGCATTATTTACCATTCTTTAGATAATGCTGATTGTAACTCGAAAGACCGACTTTCTATAAACCTCGGCATAGATAGTTGATATATTTATTTATGTGATCTTATAAACGCGACAGCGTAAGAAGATCAGTTCATAAGATCACATAAATGAATGCTGATTGTAATTCTAGAAATGGGGGTTGCGAACAAGACGATTGCTTCATTTTTAGTCAGAATCGGGTCGCTCGGTTAGTCGCAGTGCCTCAGTTATGTCGTCGTCCTCATCAAGTTCTTCACCAAATCGGTCTCCATCGCCAACTCTACCAGCTAAATATCGGGTGCTTGGTAATAAAAGGAATGCGACGATGCCGTTAGATAAGTACGTTTTTTTCATATTTGTTCAATATTAACATGAAAGATAGAATTTGACGAAAATGTCCAATTTATTAGAAACATTTCATCTATGTCGGATTCGGATGAGAAGGGCAAAGGGCGCAGTCGAAACAAAAGCTCATCAAAAGGAAAGAGGAAGTCTCCTTCACCTCAGCTGCGTACAATGTAGGTGTATATATTTGTATTTTACATAAATAGAGGTGGTTTAACTACGTCACGTTTTAGATCACCTTCACCATCACCTCCACCACCTCCACCTCCACTTGACGAAGCAGTGGGGTGCCATCATTCGCGAGAGAAATCTGAAACACCTCCGCCACCTCCACCTCCGTTACCAGTAATCAATGACATCGTCGAAAGACAAACTCGAAAACTGCGAGAATCAGAAATACGTTCATCAGAAGGACGGTCAAAGATCGATCGAAGTCCACCAAAGAAGAAGACGAAACGTAATAATGAAAGCAAGTGTTTATCAGAAATTCAGCTTTTTTCATTTTCCGAAATTTTCTGTAGTGCCGTAGTTTCCGTATTTTCGTATTTGTTAAATAATTAAGAGCCATTTAGGTTTAACAGATAGGGAACGGCGCAAACGTGAACTGATGGAGCAGTTACGTGCTGTTGAGGCGGAGTTGAAGAAAAGAACAGCGGCAACATCTGCTTTATGAATCCAAACCACGGAAGGCTTGAGTAATTCTCACTTAGTAGGGATGCGTGGAGTAACATGTCTGTATGTAATCCCATCTTAGAAATATAAGTGTTTTTGAAACTGCTGTATTGTTTGAAACATCAAGTGTTGGGGGAAATGCGTTTGCAAAGTATTGAAATGAAGCAATATATCAAAACTATCTTAATGAGGTTGACTAGCTCTCTATCACTACCATGTTATTATGTCTTAAGGGGCTGGAACATGCTGAGAGGCTAGGGTTCAGAGTAAGAAAACTATGTTTGGATCACTAACTATCTTTTGAATCTTTTCGAATACAAAGTTTTTTTAAGCGTAACAAATAATGATACCTGTTTTCTTCTTTCTATTGTTTGCATTAACTAAATACAGTGAGTTTTAAAAAATGGAATGAGGCTTGCTATTTTTCTCAGATTTATGGTTAACTGGCATTCTGATCCTTTAATCTAACCGTTCGTTCTGTTTATAATTTACACGATTTTGTCTTGATATAACAATTTGTCTAGTCAGTGCCTACATTAGTTCATAATGTCTTATTTTATTAACAACCCTAATGATGTTTTACCGAACTATTCTCATCCGTAATTGTCCTTTTTCAATTGCTCTCATCGTCCTCGTGGTCACGAAGCCATCGAATGTACTATTTGCTTCCGTGGCCACTTGTCCTGAATTCCTCGTTGCTCTGAGAATAAAAACTCAATCATATTTTGAATATTGCCTGTCGAGAGTTTACTTGTCGGCTCTACGTATTGGATGGGCATGAGGACGAGTTGAACACGAACTTATTTTCTAGTGATTATGATCATGTTCTCTGTGTTTTGGTCGGTTTAGTGTGTGTTAAGTATTTATTATGTTGGCCAAAGAAAGCCTGTTTTTTATCCTAGAAGTTTATTTTACGTCAGTTGGATGGGGTTGAAGTGAATCGTGAACAAAACTCCTTTTAGACCTTTTGGATTTCAAATATCGCTTGGATCCATATTTTCATAAGTGATTTTTTTTTGTCAGTTTCTCTTTAGCTTCTGTGTATTGTTAGTGATATAATTTTAAACTAAGCAAATCTTTACTAATATATTACTGTAGTTTGTAGCGAAATGGGAAATGAAGATGAGGTGCGTCGCTTGGGTGTCCTCCATCTAAACAAAGCGGCTTCGTGTAAACGAAATCCGAAGAGGTTTAAAAAGACAAACTTCACTAGGAGTTCGCTAACAGTGGAAGATAAGAAGTTGATGAGGTGTGTAGAGAATACATAACGTTTTTTTTACTTCGAATTTTTTGCTTGAGGCCAGTATCTCGAGCGATTGAGCCATTTAACTCAATAGTTTCGATGGATAATTTTATATGGGTGGTGCGTAGTACAGCGAGTAATTATTAGTGGCCGGGCGTAGTGTGAGTTACTTTCGACTCATGGTATCATCCCTGTCTCCCAATGCCTGGGTCTGTTGTTTTTGTACTTTTCGTTCTACGTTTCGATTTCTCCACATATTCTCCCATGTTCTTATCGTTTCCTTTATGATCATTTATGCATCTTTCGATGTTTCCTGAACACTTTCAGCAACCTTCTCAGAGAAACCACTGACAAACCAATAGGCCCGAAACCCCACTCTGAGGTCTTTGGTTCAACTTCAATTAACATTTCATATTTAATAAAATATGCTAGAACCCAAACTACTGGCTAAGGAGTGTCTACCAAATATGGAAGTATTATTTTCTGTGGAGTGCAATTTTCCTCAGAAAAATAAGAACGAAATATTTGCGTTGGGTGAGTTATCGAATGAATAAATTCAGTAATTAGAATTCTAGGTTGCAAATGAACGGCCGAACAAATGAGTCACATATGACTCATTCTGAGTGAGTAGGTGGGATTACGTGTAACAGTGCACGGGGATGTCCTTAAAGTATTCATCATTGTTGTTCGCGACAATGCGACAGCTGCATTTGCATCAGCAATGTCAAAAATTGGAATTTCGATCTTAGTTTTCTTTTTCTTGAAAATTTGTTTTCTACAAGTTAATTGTGAAGGTAGGATTTTAGAAAAATTATGTACATCATTTAGAATGTTGGCACATACGAGTAATCAAAGTTTCCGGCAATTCTTTTTTGCGGGTGGCGGCCACTTTTTTTCTTGGATTATAGTTAGTTAAGAGGTTGACCTCTGATAAAGAGGTAAAATTGTTGAAGTGGTTCACTTGCGACTATTTGAAACTTCCAGCATGCTTCGATAAAAAGTTGAGAATACAGTGAAACTCTGGAGAGAAAATCCACACGATTCGAACGAAATTTAGTGGGAGGTTATGGTGCAATTTTCTAATAAAGAGTAATTATCTGGGAATCTGCCTGCATTTTTTGCCGCTGCTGTCAACAGTTCGTTGCAGACTAAAGTGTTGAGCAAAAAAGCAGCTGTTGAAGATTTTTTTTAAGAAACTTCTTTTCTTCATCGGCCCACCATCCTTGTATTTCCAAGGACTCCAGTTACGAAGTTACCGACAGTCATTAAAAATCTAGTATCGTCGCAAATTTCTCGAGCAACTCTTTGTATCGTCGGACTACCCTCTTTCTCAAAGCAAGATTGAACCTTTTGTACTTTTCGAAGTGTACACTGAAAACAAGGATTGAAATTTTTTATCGAAGTCAACTTAAAAATTTTGGAAAATTGTCTCCTTTTGTTCTCTTTAAAATGGTAAGAAATGGATTGTAAAACGACTGTCAGTGGTTTATTATTAAAAACAAAGCACTTCTGGTTCTGGTTTGAATTGCGATATTGTAGGTATGAACAAGTGGAGCCGTTGTACAAGATGTGGTGTGACTACTTTCGTGGTTTGATTGGAGATCGAGAACAGGTTCTAGACGAAAGATTATTGAAAGCGGACTACCATGGTGCTTTAGTGCTTGTTGCTGAAGCACACAGTATTAGTATGGTGAGATATTTTAGGCATTTAACTAGGCAGAAGTTCCAGTAGAAGGAAATTTTAGATTGGAATCGTTGGCATAATAGTGCTTGAGACTCGACAGACATTTCAACTGATTACTAAACAGGACAAATATGTAGGTGAGTGGGAGCTCTTCATTTTCGTATAACTCTTAACTGCTGGACTTCTGTTGTAAGGAGTTGTATTAAAAAGTATTCAATTTTTGTACTGTGACAGTATCAACACATTTATGATCGGTGCAGAATAATTCAATTAGGTTTGATAAGTTATTGCCCACTTACATTTGATTAACAATGCCCCTGAGATGAACGGCACAAGTTGTGCAAGATTGGTTTTTTATTAAAGTTGTCAGTAAAATTGTGAAAAAATTTTACCGAACTAGCATAGTCATGTACTCGAGTACGTTAAGCCCACGAGAAGGGAATAAGTTGGATTCCGCTGACGTATACCACAAGAGAGGCTGAAAAAGTTTGGGAACTTGTTGTTCAATGCATTACCCGAAATGCGGCTACACACACAGAATTCTGTTGTGTGCTGCAATCGCTTCTCTGAGGCTGTAAACGTGGTTGAAGATCATGGGGCTGAAGGAAAGTTCGAGATATTTAAAGGTTAATCTGTCCCACATTCTCAATGCGGTTTAGTTCTAGCTATTTAATCGTACACTTTTTCAGTGATTCCTAAACGAGGTACCGCATTACAATTCGTACTTTACGGACGAATTTTTACGTTGTTCGGTGATGCAATGAGGTATAAGCCATCCCTACGAGGCAAAAAGCATCGCCTACGTGTTGCACTTCCATTCTTTATCAGATGAATGTTTATCAGATGAATGTTAACATGAGAGTGTTTTATCTCTCAATATGTTTTGATGAGTCATATTGAAGGCGTCTCGAATATTGTTTAATGGATAAAGAAAGACGTAAAAATAAAGTGACTATAGCAAATCCCAAGACCGTTTTTCTTTTGACCTCGGCACTGATAAATAACTCAGTTTTCTTGGAGAGTGGACACGAGGTTGTTGTTACAGCATTTATTAACACACAGTAGCTGACATTTCTGCGGTTTCGCCTTATTCAGATTATATAGAGATCAAATTGACATGCGATTCCACTCAACCAAACAGCAGATGAAAAGCTCATGACCTCAGCGGACAGAATGTGATCCATAAATTTTCTTTCGCATAATAAACAGCTTCTTTCGAAGTCCGTTTTGTTCCTTGCAAGTCCAGCCATTTGGTAGAGACCAACCCCACAGTCCTGCGTGGGCGAGGGTTGTACCTTGCTCAGGTCAGAAATTGAGCCTAAAGTATGACGCAAGACCGCCTGTGATCACAGGGCACTCCTTGCAGTTAATTTTTAGATTTTTGAAATTCTTCCAAAATGCTTTAAGAATGGTATACGCTGATGTTATAGATTTGTGTGGGACGATAGTGGTTTTTAGTTCAAAGTTTTCTCCGTTATGTCTTTATGCCCTATGCGCTCCTAGTGGAGTATTTGGCTCGACTTTAAGTTTGCCTGCTAGATGTTCTTTTATACGGATGTTCAGTGGTTCACTCGTTTCGCCAATGCGTTAGTAGCCGCAAGCTTTGCAAGACTAAGATGAGATAAATGGTATCCGAACTCGTACAATCACTATCTCTACCTTTACTAAGGCATATTATGCAATTTTGCCTTGTCCATACACTGGTATATAGGCGGTTACATACCAGCTTACGTCTGAGAGTGCCTGATGAATGTAATCTAATTCGCCACACCGGTCCTTCTTAAGCAACTTTTTATACCTGCAGTTATTTCATTTGAAATGAAGAGCAGGATAAATAGAGTCTCATTCCCGCTAGGAATGGGGATAGCGCAGTGGTTAGTGATGCTATCGATGGGGAAGCAAAAGCGCTAGTTCTATTCCAGTGCCAACGCTCTCCTCCAACTCACGTGGGAATGCCCTAGCTTAACTATCCCCAAGGCTGCGAATACAGTTGGCTCCACAGGCATTCTAGGACATTCATAGAGAAGACGAAATCCTCAAGCAGCAGATGAAACAACACGGGAAGTGTTCGAAGACCGTTTGTCCATTGTGGACGATTAGTGCGAGGAAAATGAGTCAAACGCAAGAAGTGTTGGAGCCGAAGAGTAGATGTGATCGCGGAACATGTAAAGTAAATAAATAGAGTGATATTGTTACCTTTTCATATGCTGGTTGCTCCAGTTCTTCACGGCACGGTATTGTGTGCTGATATTTGCAAAAGTCCGGACCGCAAGTGTCTGCAGTGTGGAGCAAACCCTTTATTGCCCTTTCCGGAGGTTAACACGTTCTCCACCACACCGGAGTTCTTCATCACCGGATCCTGAGTTTTGCAAATATCTCACTTGTCACATGTATCACATGCAGTCCTGTTGATCGTCGAGTGACTCGAGCGGACGCCAGTAAATCTTCCATTTTTCCTTGTCGCGTGCAAGAGTAGCCCAGTGGGTTCTCCTCGCTCTAGGAACTCGTTGAGCATCATATCTTCCTTCTAGGCTTTTCGTGAAGAACTCTGACCATCGTGTCTGCAGTTTTGCTGTTGTGCATTTGACATCCCGAGGAATCCAGTCACCAATGGCTCTTGTCTATCGCTTGTCGTTGATATGCATTACGTGACCAACCCATCTTATCTTCGACTGTATGGCGTACGAACTGGCATCTCTGATTTTTGATCGTTGACGCAGATCGGGGCTTTGGATCCCATCCCTTACCTGCGTGAAACGGGATTCTCCTAGCATCGTCCTTTCGACTGCGCGTTCGATACCGCTGAGTGACCTTTCATCCTGCTTACGCAGCGACCAGGTTTTCGGCGCATACGTTAGGGCAGGAAGCACCGTTGAGTCGAAATGGTGAGTACGGAGTCGGGTGTTCTTTGTTCTCTTCACTATATCTTCGATGCTCTTGAAATCTCCCTAAGCCGCTAATTTCCTTCTGCTCAGCTCGAGCTAATTCGTTCATCACATTGATTTCACGACCTAGATAGAGACATAATTGGAGCATTCGGAGATATTCGTTCCGTTGAGCGTGAATGGGGCGTACGAGACCAATCCGTTCTTCATGAGCATCGTATTTGTGACATTTCGTCTAAAACAAATCTTTCCACAGGCTTCATCGAAGTCAGCAAGCATACGTTCCGCTTGGTTAATGTTTGGTGTTATAATGACGATGTCATCAGAAAAGCGAAAATGGCATATCTTTCTACTTCTGTTCAGCAAACACGAGGAGCTGTTTTATTTTTTTATTTACGCACAAGCTGACGTTTCGGCGGATTTCGCCTTCCTCAGAGCCTGGAAGGGTCAAGTTGGGAGCAATCCATTCGGCCAAACACCTCCATAGCCAAACAGAGAAAACGCTAAACCAAGATTTTAATCACATTTAGCGTAGCTCTGCACACTCACCGCTTTCTATGAGTCTTCCACTGAGTATATCGCGTGAAGACCGACCGCACAGAATTCATATGGAAGCGTAATGTGCTCCTCCCATCAGAATAACAGGTTTATATACTGTCCAATATTACGCGTGATAATGAGGTATTCCTCCTTGCGGTTCATTTTCGGATTCGTGGAATTAATCCAGAATGCTCGAAAAACCGACTTTCTATAAACCTCGGCATAGATAGTTGATATATTTATTTATGTGATCTTATAAACTGATCTTCTTAAGCTGACGCGAGGTTGGTACAGATCTTCGTTGTCGTTGTCGTTGTTTTTGATGTTATTGATCGATGGCTGACGTTTCGGCGACTTCACTTTCCTCAGAGCCGTGATGTTACCAGTTACGCGGGACCAGTTACGTGCGAGTCCCGGACGTAACATCACGGCTCTGAGGAAGGCGAAGTCGCCGAAACGTCAGCCATCGATCAATAACATCAAAAACAACGACAACGACGACGAAGATCTGTACCAACCTCGCGTCAGCTTAAAAAGATCAGTTTATAAGATCACATAAATAAATAATCCAGAATGCCTCTAGAGTTTTGCGCGCTTGTGTTCTCGATTCTTGCACGAGGATCGTAACCCTTCAAAATCTTCTCCGTTATGTTATAATGGTATAATGGTAAATGATATTAAAAATGGGAAAAAAATGGAATGGTAATGGAAATGGTATAATTGCTGACCATCGATTTTCACTCCGATATTATCCCATTCCAATGTTCTGGAGGGTGGCGGTAAATAGTTTTGGCGAGATGGCATCGCCTTGCCCAACTCCTCCTTTGACGTCAATGATAATATCGTCGTAGAATAGTAATATCTTGGTTGTGAAATTTTTGTACAACTCACGAAGAATCTTTATGTACCACGTAGGGACTCCTTAACTATCAAGGGCTTCCAAAACTGCCTCTACCTCAACTGAATCAAAGGCCTTCTGTACATCGATGAGGGACCTTGCATTCAGACAGGTAACGCGTGAAGAGCCCAGCTAGTGTGTTTACGAAGACTGTCGGAAGGTTCTTCAGGTGTTCTGGTCTTATCCTGTTCAGACCTGGTGCTGTTCGATTCATTATGGTTGTATTTCACATAATACCGTGCCGTGGAGAATTGGAGTAGCCAGCAAATAAAAAGTTAACATTGTGATTTCAACTACACCCTCAGCTTAACTGGGCTCAATGGCGATTTCTTTTCACCATATCAATCCCGTTGATGTTGATGGAGGATTGTTGATGGAACTGGTAGATAGAAAACAAACAGAGATGCAGGCGAAACGAATGATCTGCATGGCGTGGTGATGAGCGCGTTAGCTCCGGGAAAAAGTAGTAGCTCCCGAAACCTCCCGTGTTCGTTCCTCACCGCAGACACCTGCGTTCCGGAGTTTTGCAAACATCATCATGGAAAATATCATCAATATCAGCATCATTATGGTAAAATGATGTTGTCGCGAGACTTATCGTTTGAAGACATGGTTCTTCTTCCAAAGCTATCCCAAAGAACTACATTCGTAGTCATTGGAAATAGCTATTTGCCGCTCCAGTTGCGCTGATACTTCTTTCTGCTCTCTTAGTGTCCACTCACTAGTGGCTGTTTGTAACATGTTTGTCACAAGCGCTCTTTTTGTGTTTGAGGGATGAGAGGAAAGATAATGAACCAGTATATTTTTGTTACTTGCCTTTTGGCATTAATTTAAACATTCAAATTGAAGCCAATTTCTTTTCGGTTTCTCTCGCGTGAATGCTGTGTACTCTGACTGCTCTCTCAATAACTTGGAACATTTATCTATCTCCTCTTGTGTGGAGCAGATGACAAAACAGCCATTTATATACCTACAGTAGAGTAATGACTGGAATTAGATTTTTGTTGCTTCCTTCTTGAACATAAAGGCAAAGGCAAGTCGTGGTATCAGTCGCTGTCCTATTGCCAACCCTCTGATATGTGCGTAACATTTTCCAGAGCCAGGAGTTTTGTAAATATCTCAGCATTATAGAAGTTATATTTCACAACACACCCTGCCATTAAGAATAGGCAGTAAATAAAAAGGTTAAGATTGTGATTATAACTATAGCCTCAGCTTAACTGGGTTCGTTGCCGATTTGGGCTCCCCAAATCAATCCCGCTGACGGGTGATTGCTGATGGCTGTGATTGATAGAACTAGCTGGGAAACAGACGAAACGAAGGGTTCGCATGGTGTGGTGGTGAACGCGTTACTCTCCGGAACGGATAATAGCGCGTTCGTTCCCCACCGCAGACACCTGTGGTCAGGAGTTTTGCAAATATCTCAGTATCATTGAAGTTATATTTCGCAATATACCCTGCTATTAAAAAAATAGTAGGCAGTAAGTAAAAAGGTTAAGGCTGCGAATA